ACTTCTTCAAACGATAATTTCAATTACTGTAGTAATTATAAAATTTTCGATTGATTAATCAATAACAAAAAAAACAATGCTTCCCTACCTTCGGGTTGTTATACACATAAATTAAAAGGGTTTCAAGGGGAAGACTTTAGCCAAGTTTCGTTAAAATCGTTTTGGCACTACAGTTTATAGCGATACATTTTTTTGCAACTTTGAACAAAAAAATTTTACATTTTTATTTTTTTTTTACATATATAAAATTATCGTAAGACAGAAGTACTATGCCAGAAACCTTCCCAGCTTTCAATAACTTCCCAAAGTTTCATGGCAATCGGATGAATGGTTTAGTAATGCATAAAGGACAGACAGACATACATTCATTTTTATATATAGAGATTAATTTATTTAAAAAGTACGTATTTGAAAACTATAAAATTACTTATTTTAACTCTACATTGTTCCTAAAAACTTGAATGTTATATTTCATAATTTCTTTTTATCTTCTTTTGCCCACTATGAATAGATATAAAATAAAGTTCTTGTTTGATCCAATAACAACTTGCATAATGTCTTCTTGTTAAACTCCTTCAGTTTTAAGCTGAATCGTACACAAAAAAAATATAGAAATATTGTTGTAAACAAAAGAAATCTGGCGCATCATACAACTTTTGCTTACCACCCCTTTTTGGGCAGAAAATTGTATTTCCAGACAAAGAGAAGTGAAAGTAAAGTGAGATTCAGTTGATTAAGTATATTTTTTATTAAGTAATTAACTAAATAAAAAAAGTATAGTAGCAATGATCTATATCGCGTCCTTTATCTTAATAAAAGTGGAAGCAAATGTAAAATTTACAATTTATCCTTAATAATAAACATTTCATGATTCCTGTATTTGTAAAAAAAAAATTAACTAAATTTCAATAAAAAAAACCAGTACATCATATAAATACAGACATGAGATCAGAAATCTGCATCGTTCCAAAAAACTTGAAAGATATATATCATAATATTTGTTTTGCGATTACCTTCTTGTTCAGTTCATTACAGGATCGTATAACCAAAAGAATTGGATATTGAAAATATAGAATATCTAAGACATAAGATATATTCATCCAAATACCATGGGGTAGTGAAGGGGTAAATAACACATAGAGATCACAAACATTAAGAACAAAGCTCCAGCTTATAAAGAGGAACATGGGTAGCTTGAACAAATGGCATATTTTTTCGAAAATGGTTGAGATATGTTGACATTTTAAAACAGAATCCTCATATTTATTGAAGCGCAGGAAATCATGATAGAAGGAACCTAGTTGGAGGAGGGTACAACTCAAAATACCACTGCAGACATAGAGGAAGCAACAGTCTATCGCGAAGCATATAAGTACAGTCAATATTGTCCATCTTATCCCGTTAAACATAGCGTACACAGCGCTAATAGTGATTACAATTGGAAAAACTGTTGTAATTTCTCTTAAACACTTTCTAACCGAATAATCAATTATAAGGCTATTCTCTAAAAGGCTCAATTCCACCTCAACATCAGAAATTATGTCTTTGTTGAACTGAAACCAGATAAGAGAGATGATGACGTTATTAAGACCACCATAGATCTTTAGTCGTAACATTCCAACCAATAATCGGTTGTCATTTATGATGGTGTATTTCTCAGGGTATAAAGAAAATTCAATATAAATATAAATCGTGCAGAACAAGTTCAAGGCGACTATTAATATTATCAACAATCTACAAGATAGATTATGGAAACAAACTAAAAGAAAGCTGAAGCCATTCTCCATCCTGAGCAAACTATACTGCTTAGTTTGAAATGTCTAATGTGGAGCAAGACCCATTACCAAATGAAAGGTCTTTATTCATTAAATATTTATGCTTATCGAAGCTACTACCGAGATGAGCATTCGTAATGACAACTTGTTAGCTAGTGTTTTAAATGAAAATAGTGCTCATTTCATCAAATAAATTGCATTGCATAAACAGGTTTAAATAAATATATGAAGGGAGCATTAATTTTTTTAAAACACTTCAGAGAAGTAATTTCATATTTTATAACCCTAAATATTCTTACAACAATGGAGTCTCCTTATATTGGTATGTAGGGAGAGGGAAAGGAGGTCTAGCCCACCGTGCAACATGCTTTTCAAAACAATTCCTGACTAGCGTTCCAGTTAATGGCTCATTTTCTTAAATGGAATTACAGAATCATTCTGTTCAAAACTGAAAGAGCACTATTGTGAAGAAATCGAAATGGGTAAATTTTGAAAGCTCGGTAGTTCGCTTCCTGTTGGGTTTTAAAAAAATGTTACATACAAATGTGTCAGATAATTTTAAGCTGTTTAAGATTGAATATAACTATTTTTTTCTCTATATCGTTCTCAAAGAGAGATATTTAGTGTAAACTAAAAAAAGTTAGAAATTTTAATAGTTTTTGGACTGCAGCTAACCCACAAGGCTTTCAAGGCTAGAAACTTGGATTTTTTATAGTCACTGTATAACTAAAAATATAAAAAAGAAATTTGAATTACACGTCCTTTTCCAAAGTTATATGTCTAATTTGACTGGGCTAATAATGAAACATCTCATCATTCTCGCTGTCCATTAACCACATCATAAAGGCTGCAGTTCCATTTCAGTTTATATTCAAAATTTTTCCTTCTAAATTTTGCTCTTACACTAATTTAAAATGTTGTTCTTGCACCTATATTGGATAAAATATAATTGCAGGTGGGATTGGCATCATTAGTGATATGAGTAGACAGTTGTCCAATTGAATGGAGTTCTTAATAAAATATTCTTCTGGTAGAACTGACACTGTACCTTTAAAAATACCAGATAATAGTAAACAAGCAATTCTAGCCAGAGTGAAAAATTAGAGATTTTTGGAATCCTAGATCTTAGTGTCGCTCAGGGAAAATAGATTTATTCAATTTGATTCGATTAAGTTTTACGGTATAATCAACTTCTATTATTTACATTCTATGCATCATTCTAAATTAAATCTTGACTATGAAAAATATAATCCACATTTGAGTCGTGCCTCGCATTTAGTGCATGAATACTGTTCCACTCTCATCAAAGGTAGAAAAAAATTACTTTCATGTTTCTTGTTACACTTCCGTTTCCATAGAAATTTAAGGATTGTACATGTTATATTAATTGGCAATAAAAGATGAATGATGGTGCAAAAAAAATTTTAAACATACTGGACTTGTCATCTGTCGGACTATTTCTGCAGTAGCGAATCCAAGATTTTATTTTTGAGGGGAGTTGTTTTTTTTTTATTTTAATAACTGTAATTATTCTGAAATAAAAGTAAATAAACTGCCTATTTGATATGATCTTTGAGTGTTCCTTGATGGTCTGTTAATAAAAAAACAAAACAACAAAAATTATGGAGGATGAATAACTCAGTGAAAGCTCAATTGGCTAAGCTCAAGGTCCCAGGTTAAGAATCCGGCTGATATAAAGTAATTTTTTCATCTGCCGTTGATCGACCTTGAGGTCAAGATACCCTCCTGAGGCACACCCCGCCTCTATAAAGTGGTGACCATTAATTAAGGAGGAAAACGTGGCGGTTAAGGATGATCTCGATCAAATCACCTCTCTGCACAACTGTTGGCCTTGAAGCAGTACCTCTTAACAAAGTACTGTACCCAAAACCCTTCATCATGGGTTGTAGTCGTACTGATTTTTTTTTTTAATAATAAAATTAACAAACCTTGACATCTACATTGGCTACGTTTTGGTTAGTAACCCATATCATTGACTTCCATTCTTCTTAATAAATGGGGCTTAACCCATTTAGCCTGTGATTGGTTTTAGGTGAAGTATTTATAATAATATAAAATAAGGCTGTGTTTTTACTTCACCACATTTAATCTATTTTTTTTTTACATCTTAATCACTTAAGCACCATTAGTGTATTACAGAATGATACGGCTTGAAATATACCCATCGTTGACGGGTGTATAGTTAAAATTTGAGAATCTTTTTCTGAAATGGATATTGCATTATGGGGGAGGGGTTAATTGCATAACATTGGGTGAGGGGAAAAAGGTAATTTCAATTTGTTGAAGATTTTCTTCCGATTTCTGACTAATCCGTTGGGTTAATCCTAAACATGTATACGGCAGCATTTGTTAGGCTCAGGAAGTTGAATAGAATGACACCTTGAACGGGAAGTTCGGACAAAGTTGAAAAATGAGTGTGTTTTAAGTTGTGATAATTTTTCCATCAGTTGAATAGTACAACTGTTAAATATGGCTCGCGGTAGAGTAAATTGGGATGAGAGTCGAAGTTACTGCCTAACCGGGATCTCTAGCCAAATTTGCCAAGAATTCATAACTATGGTTCTATTCAATATTTTGATTTCATTTAAAGCCTATGTTTTAAGTCAAGTAAACCTTAATATAATGCCAAAATTTCAAAAGTCTACAATAAGCCATTGCTGAGCTTACCCCTGACAAAATTTTGTTGCAATGCGGAAATACAGACAAAAAAATTTTTAAAACTGGATTTGGTGTCTGCAATGTATGAAACGGAAAGATATCATAAAACAGGTTGATTCGATTCAATGTACAGACAAAATTTTTATTTTATTTATATAGATAAATACTTCACCTAAAACAAATAAGCACACTTGAATAAAAAACCTACTGTTTCAGAAAAAAAGCTTCTTTTAGAGATAAGTTTTTTATATATACTTTTTACTGTTTAAATTTATTAGCTGAAATACTTGTGTTATAATTTCAAAAGATTACATATTTTGATTTTTTAAATATTTATATCACTCGCAAAAACTAATATGGACCTATAAACTATAAACATATTTCACCATCTGAAAGAGGAGGCTTCATTCAACCCAAAAGTACCCCCGTGGCAATTAGGCCAACTATTAATATATAATTTTTGATATATTTTTTTTTAAATATTTGTTTTATAACAGAATTAATTCCTAATAAATATTTTAACTAACTAAAATATACTTGTTTTAGGAATGAAGGTTCTCCGGATAGCCTGAGTATGAATGAGGAAGAAGATGATGATGATCCTGGATCTCGAGGGAGTTGGGACAACAAGCTGCAGTTCATCTTGGCCTGCGTTGGCTGCTCTGTAGGCTTGGGTTCCCTCTGGAGGTTCCCCTACTTGGCTTATACCTCTGGAGGTGGTAAGTATTATTTACAAAATTATATCAAAACTGTTATTATATTAATTATTCTTTCAAATATCGCAAAATTGCGATGAGGCAGTAGCTGTAAAAAGGACACAGGCTCTATAACTTATTTTTGAGCTAGAAGCTCGTAAAGGTTCTTAATAAATTCTTTAATTTCTTCTGCTGCACATAAATTCCTTCCGGTATTTCATTATGTAAATGAAATGAAAAAATATTTTATTATTCTGGGACTGTTGTCCCTTTAGAACAAATTATAAATACAGATTGTATATCTGTGTGGTTACAATTAGATTATATATTTACAATAAGAGTTGACTAAAGATAAAAATACTGAAAAAGAAAAAAAATAAGAAAATTGTACATATATATGAGAAACTAAAATAACCTAAATAACTTGAGGTAGTCTCTGGGGGTGCTTAGATATTTCTCTTAAGTATATTTCACAATCAGCCGGATTGAGAAAGGAGTAGATGTTTAAAGAGGAGATGTTTGAAAGAGGAAACTGATTGAGCGTGTCGAATATCAGCAGGGATGGAATTCCAGAGGGAGGCGGCTTATATTGCAAAGGATTTGTCAAACGCAGCAGTTCGGTGAGGAGGAGGATAGAGGTCGGAAGTAAGAGATCTAGTGGAACAGGATTGGATGGAGTATTTGAATTGTAAGCTGTGAAAAATATAGGAGGGTCGATGAGTTCTAATGATTTGGTACAGAAAGGTGGCTAGGAAGTACTGATGGTGATAGGATGGGTAGAGCCACCTCAACTCAGTGTAATACTGGGTAATATGCGTATCCCTTGAGATTCCGAAAACAAATCGTAGTGCTCAATTCATTAGGCGTTTAAGTTTGGCCAGGGGATCTCCTGAGAGTCCACCGTACACCATACAGCCATAGTCGAAGTGGGGGAAAACAAGGGAGGAAACTAGGAGTTGACGGGACTTATATGGAAGGAGATATCGTAGATGATTGAACTGTTTTAGGGTGGAGATAGTGCGACAGGAAATTTGGGAGATGTCTGGTTTTCAGGATAGGTTTTAATCAAAAGTAACACCTAGGTTTTTAACGGTGGTGAAGAATAAGATAGGTGAGTTGTTCAGGAGGAGATTGGGAGATACCAGGTAGGATTTGAGGAGTGAGGGGATACGATCAAGATGGCTTTTGTCTTCTCGGCGTTTGTCTTTTTTGTACTGAATCAACTGAACCAATACTGAAAATTTACAACAAAGATGGCCATATTTTTCAATTTTGGTTTAAAAAACTTCATTACTACTTATATTTCCTTTTAATGGAGAAAATTATTTCCAAAAACTCTTCTAGCATAGGTTATTTTATTTACCTTGCATGAAACTTTTTTTTTTCTATTATTAAAACATAGTCACTGTTACTGATACTGTAGAGGTGAACTAGACCAGTACATGTGCTTTGTGGTTCTTTTTGCCAATATTTGATAGCTACATAAATGTTGCTGTCACATACTAACTATAATGGCAGTGTCAAGATTCATTTCTCAGAACTTCTGAGAAAAAAATATTAATTGACTCAGTTAGGAATCAAACCTAAAACATTTAGAATTGGACACTAGGTTGCTCTAGGGTTCTAGAGAAACATCGCCCCAATGTGCTTGATAATCATGTCCTCTTAAAAACAAGCATTTATTATTTAAAATATAGCTAAATAATTTCCCTCCCTCTCTTTCTTGCCTCTACCCTAAAGGGTCATTGGCATTTTAATATAATTTATATTCTGTTATAGTGCTTCGTAAGATATAAAAGTAGTAGCAACTCTTCACCATCCTGTAGAATTTCTTTTAGGTTTTTGCTAGGCCAATTTTTTACCAGTTGTTTTCAAATCGGAGACATTCTTCCGGTAGATGTTTTACTATTTGAGATATATTAAAATACTTATTAAAAAAGCAATATCTGTGCCTTTCTAAGAAAAGATAAAAAGGTGTATATTAAAGATTAAAAAATAAATATAAACTTGTACTAAATAAAATATATTTGCACTTTGAGATCTCAAAAAATAAATGAATAATAATTGTGGGTAAATGGTTGACTGTCGTGAATAATGAAAAGAAGAATAGTTGGGGTGATCAGTCAAATAAGAAGACAAAATAAATGATAATATTTATTTTGACATTTGCCGACTTTTCGACCTGAAGTTCAGGCCTTCATCAGGGCTAAGAAAAGTACCAGATAACAAGATATGAGAAACATAAGTAGTGTAGGTAAAAAAATTAAAGTAAAATGAAGTTGTTAGAATAATGACAATAGTAAGAACTAAGAGATAAATAATAATAACCGTTACGTGTGGAATGATGAAGTAAACATAATCAAAAAAGGTGACATAAGTACTAAAATGGGAATCTTAGAATAAAATGTAAAACAGAAAAAAGAAATATGAAGTTATATAATAAATGAAAATAATAGTAAAATTAAGATATTGCGAATAGAATAGTTAGATAGAAAATTGAGATATTGTATTTTCTATCTATTGTATTTTCTATCCAACTATTTTATTTGCAATATCTTAATGTTACTATTTATTTTCATTTCTTATATAACTTCATATTCCTTTTTTCTGTTTTACATTTTATTCTAAGATTCCCATTTTAATACTTATGTAACATTTTTTGATTATGTTTACTTCATCATTCCATACTTTGTAACGGTTATTATTATTTATCTCTTAGTTTTTACTATTGTCTTTATTCTAAGAACCTCATTTTACTTTAATTTTTTTACCTACACTACATATGTTTGTCATACCTTGTTATCCAGTTCTTTTCTTAGCCCTGAACTTCAGGTCGAAACGTTCTTCTTATTTGACTGATCACCCTAACTATTCTTCTCTTCGTTAAATGAATAATACTTTTAATAAAACAAAATGTTTAAATAAAATAAACCCATTTTATGTCACAATCGTTATGAGTTTCTAAAACTCCATGTGGTAAATCAGAGAGCTAATACCCTCAGCTTTCTGTTCACTTGTAATTCCTTGATAGTCCCTTTGATCCCATCCGTTCTTCTTGTCTTAAATTTCTGCCTGTACCAATCTCGTGCCTAGCGATGGCAGTTCGAATCTGGTCTGGGAAGAGTTGACTTTTATTTCGTAGCGGGCCCACGGAACGGAACTCGATTTTCCCACTCTGGTTAGAATAGGTTTGTTTGTACCTATAGAATAATCCCCTCCCCTCCTACTATATAACAGAAATGGTGGGTAGGAGGTAATCAAATAAAAAATAAATAAAAAAGTACTATCCATCTTTCCTACTGTTTGAAGCCTTCTGATACCTCCCATCACCTTCCTATTTTATAATACCTTGTCTGGCATAAAAGACACAAAAAGGATCATATAAACATGCACGAGTAAAAAAAACAACAATAGACAAACATTGGACGTTAGGTTATAACTGTAAAAATACAACCACTCAGCCTTGTGTCAAAAAAATGCAAGTAAAAACCAAACTAAACCGTCAACATTTTGCCAATTCATGCATCATCAAGACATACATACATATATGGCGCTACATCCCGTCACCGAGACTGGGCCTCCTGGGCATCATCAAGACAGAAGAAATAATATTACTTAACTCCATGTCAAATTTATAAATTTATTTTAAGTCATACTAATTTAGTTTATTTCTTGATTGGAATAAAATTTTGTTGGGGTATTCTTGAAACTATACAGAAGTTATTAAAGCATTCTCCACAAAAAGAGCACGTGGGCTTGTGAACCTTACTGCAGTTACAGCCTCAAATTATATATGTGTTACGTTACGAATTGTTAACTTCAAAATATATCAATAGGTAGCTTTCTGGTGCCTTACTACCTGATAAGACTGATATGTGGGATTCCATTGCTGTACATGGAGCTCGCCATCGGCCAGTTCACCCGCAGAGGCCCGATTGGCACCTTTTCCAAGCTTTGTCCCTTATTTAAAGGTAAAACTTCACTTATCAATATTTTATCTTATTGTTATATTATTTTGGTATATATTCACTGTTAGTTAGGTTCCTGATGAATAAAAGTTATTCATTCAGTCATTTCAAACTTCACAATTGAAAGCTAAATATCTCATTTGTTCGATGTCAGACTGAAAGCACAAAAGGTAATAAAGTATAAGATAACAGGTGAACGCACCAGTTATGGACAGGGGGTCAAGTGATGGACATGTCAGACTATAAATGTAAATAATAACCTTCCTTGTTGATTCAAAGGTTCCAGTTCTAGATTGAAGAACAATGCCCTCTATTGACAACTGTATGAACAAAGTTCCCAAAAGAAAATTTTAAAATGCTTATCATTGTTATTTTATAGTGCTTTTGAGATCAGTATGTTTCATACCTTCCTACTAACAGTTAAATAAAGATTTTAGAATTTTTCTGATTGACCGTATATTACTGGTACAGACCCCCTGTCCATTACTAAAACAATTGAAGGTCGGTGTGTCCATCTAGGTGACTAGTGCAAAAAGGTGTTGGTTTTTTTAATGGAGATTATGCCTGCATAACTGTTTTTTTTAATGGAGATTATACCTGCATAACTGAGTATTTTTTTTTAATTTTAACTTGTTGAATAGAAAAAGAAGACCCTAAAGATTCTAAATGTCCGACAGAGAAGTTTATAACTGTAATAATAACGTTAGCATGAACCAAAAAAGACAAAAACTTCTTTAGCTATGTCCATTATTGGTACGCTATATAACCCTACATGATTTTCTAATTATCAAGAAGCAATTTTCATATTTTTTTTTTTATTTATTTAAATCTCTAAGTTCCATTTTCAATGTTTTGTTTATTCTGAATGGAAATCATTTCAGAATAAATTAACTTTATTTTTTATTGTTATGCAGTATATTTATGTTATTATTTTTATTAATTGCAGGTGCTGGTTTGGCCAGCGTAGTTGTGGCATTCTTCATGTCTACATATTACAACATGATCATAGCGTATGCCATATTTTACTTCTTCTCGGCATTCAGGTCCAAGCTGCCTTGGGAAGACTGCTCAAATAGGTGGAATACCAAGCTCTGTTGGCCGACGCACCACGCCAATATGACTAAACCTGCTCACTCGGAATCGCCAGCTGAGGAATTTTTTATGTGAGAATTTAGACGTTTTTACTTTGAAAACTTATAAAAATATAAAAACTAAACTAAGAGTGAAACCTAGTGCATCTTGCAGCAAATTAATATTTTTTGATAAACAAAATTTTAATCTCTTTTGAACTAGAATAAGTTAAACAGCATTTAGTGGCTTAGTTCAAGTATATAAACAATAAGCCAAATAAACAAACTTAGTGTAAAAGCCAACAAGCAAACTTAGCCATCACCACTAATAGATTCAAGCGGTAGCTTTTGGGCATAAATTAGACATCAAATTTTTCACTCTCAAAAATAGACGTTTTGTACTATTATTTATTTTATTTTATTTAAATCCTACCCTGCCGGTAAGGCAATATGGATGTTATCCAGCAGTGAGTAGCAACGCATACGTTACAACTCACTGCTGCATTCAGACCAATCACATTTTTTTGTAGTTTTCAGCTGTGTACACAGCCTGCTCTTTCTTCTTTTCAGCCAGCATCCTCTTCCACCCTCTCTGGCGGATTTCCGGATGCAGCTCCATCTCCTCTTTCCAATGAAAAGTTGGTTGAACCAACAAATTCTTCCACCCGACGAAGACCTTGTAGTACGGATATTTTTCCTTTGTCATTAGTTGAGGGAGATCGCTCTCCGTCGGAAGGTGAAGCCCCATCTCTCTCAACAACTGGGTCCTACCATATTCAACGAGCTTTGCTCGGAAACCCCCATGCCCTGTGAGGAACTAAGAGAATCAGTAGTCCGGGAGAACTCATGTCTGTTCCATTCTTGAACTAACAGTGGGGAAGTATTTTCTTAGCATAGCTCCTTTTGGCGTTGTTACGCACCGCTGGTTCCATTCTTTTAATGTGTTCTCCCGAAGAATGCATTTCCATCATTAGGATCTTCACTGATCCTCACACAGAGATTCGCCGGTAGATCCACCAGGCCTTCCCTCTTCATCTTGTGCCGAAAGTATTCTTCTTGTAGGATAAGATGAATAGGAGTAGTTCCGGCTAAGACCTGTACCTTTCATGAGACACTGTCCATTTAGTACTAAAAATTCTCAACCTTATTTCAGCGAAATACTATGTCTCTGATTAACATTTGCAACAGATTATCATCATTTGAACCTCCCTCCCTTCCCCTGGTCAATTTTGTGCTGCTTTACCAATGTTAAAATCTGGTCACCACATTCTAATGGTAAAAAGGTTCTGTACAAGTAACTCATTATCAAAATAGAATAAATTATAAATATATATTATTTTTCTCTTTTCCTTTCCTTTCCTTGCAGCAATAAGGGAATTATTTAAAGCAATCAATGTTTACAGTGGTAAATTGTTGAAGCAGAGCCACGGTATTGAGGAACTCGGGAGTGTTCGTTGGGAGCTAGCAGCCTGCCTCTTGTTCGCTTGGATCATTGTTTATTTCGCCTTGTGGAAGTCTGTCCGATCTTCCGGCAGAGTTCTATACTTCACAGCTACCCTTCCATTCATTCTGGTCCTTGCCTTCCTCGGCAGATCTCTTACCTTAGAGGGTGCTGATGTTGGTCTTGACTTTCTCTTTAAGCCTAGTTGGCACCTACTAAAGGATTCTAAGGTAACCATTATTCCAAGTTCCTTTAATTTATACATAATTAATTTTTTTTAATACTAATGATAGTTAAATATATTGTAATTTAATTAGGTTTGGATTTATGCAGCAGCCCAGAACTTCAACAGTATCGGCATTGCCTATGGTGGAGTTATCACATTTGCTAGCTACAACACAGAAAAGAATAAGATCTTACCGGATACGCTCCTCATTTCAGCCATCAATGACATCGCCTGTATGATAATAGCTGTGTTTTCGTTTGCAACCATTGGTAACATCTCTACTGAACATCAAACCTCCATTGACAAAGCAATTTCTGACAGTAAGTATAAAAAAAAAAAAAAATTGTTTATGGTAACTATGGTTACTTGGTGCAAATATTTTTGGTTTTTTTTTTTATTTTAATACTATCATTGAGGCTATATTTTCATATTTTTTTTGGACCTTCATGTGAGTTCTGAACTCTTCGGAAAACCTTAAAGTCAAAAGTCAAGGAGTGCCAATCAACCCTAATTCTTCTGGGGTTGGTTGAAACAATTTAGGAAAATTTCTATTAAAAAAACTGAATAATCAACAGGGCTGTCCTGTGGGTTGTTGACAACTGCGCACTAATTTTATCTGGCACTCCCCCTCACATCTTTCCTAATCGGCCAGTAGTCTATTTTTTCATAATTGTGAGTTATGCTTATTGTACTCGATATACCTTTGCACATCTACAAATGACTAATAAATCTTTAGCCTGCTTGAAAATTTGTCATGTATGAAAGTCTTAGAAAAAATGAAAAATAATAAATTAGAAAGTTGAATGTTGATAGAATTGACACTGTTTTTAAGAGTATGACATATTCATTATATTTTAGTCCACGATTCTTGGTTACAGAGTCGCCTGGGGTTCATACATCCATATGAAAGCTCTGTGAACAACTGGAAACAAATAGTTTTTTTTATATTAGAAACAATTGTAAAGGAACAGTGGTTTAAAACATATACTTTTTGTTTGCTATTGGGAGGTCATTACTTCATTTTTACTTTCCCCTTTTTTTCTACAAATCTTGTTTCTCCAAATGTTTACGTTTTCAAAAATAACATGTTGGTCACTGATCCTATCCAGATTAAATTTGAAAATGGCTACCAAAGTACAGAAAAACAGAAATCTAGGTGTTTTACAGTACAATAATCACAATGTGATGAGAATAACAAGTGACAAAGAATGAAAGAGTTGCTTGCCTTGGGAGTTCTACAGAAGAAAAAAGAAAACTAAAGAAAAAATTACTTCCCAAGCTGAAAACAAACTTTCATGGATCTGTCTTCCATGAAAGCTCACAAGACACTGAAAGTTTTGTAATTTCAACCTGTAGAGTAAGACTTCAGACGTAGAAAATGTGGAGCTCCATAGTCTGGTGGTGAGAATAAAAAGCTTAAGCCAACCAGCCCCACTTTTCTATTGCATTACAATGGTGATACACATAAATAAAAATTGTTTAAATAAAAACTAATGGAATAGTCACAAAAATTTATTCTGAAATCACTTCTGCCACCTATTACAATATTATATCCACCAAACATAGACATATTTTACAGTAAAATGAACTAGAAAAAATCTTCTTTAAAAATTATATATTGTTGGTGTTCTGAAAAACTGCAAATTCAACAAATTATTTATTTTTAGATCCATGACAGCAATAACTGTCAATGTGTAAAAATGACAAATTTTGCAACTTTCATATTTATTTGCCCCCTTTAAGATCTTCCTATGTAAAACTGACAAAATCCATCACTTTTTTAATATTTCTTATAAAATATTGTCTCCTAAAAAGTAGTAGATTGTTGGATTTGCACTTATAACAGAATATCGTCAATATATGTTTGTTAGGAAAACAAAAGAAATCTTTCAATAAATAAACACAAAACATACAAAATAAAATATATAAATAAATAAGAATGAAAAATGGTCAGTATGTGCAGCAAAAAATTATATTTATATTTATTAATTAATATATCTTCTTAGTTCACTAAACCATTACTCCCTGGCAGTTCTTATCTTATTTTTATTTATATATTTATTTATTTTATTTTATTTTTTTTTTTTTTGCATTATTAGTGGCTAGAATGAATTTAAGAATCCCAATAGGGCCTTACTTTAAATTAAATAATTTCAAGTTATACCCCCTGACTACAAGATTTTGCTTTTAATTAAACATATCACTATCAAAATTTACTTATTTTAATATCAATTATTTGATTTTTTTTTTTTTTTTTTATAGGTCCTGGGTTGGTTTTCGTAGTCTACTCTACAGCTATGTCTAAGATGCCCTTCTCAAGTTTCTGGGCAGTATTGTTCTTCTTTATGTTACTTTGCCTTGGTCTTAATACACAGGTACTTTTGTCAATTATATATATATTATTTTTATCATTGGAAAAAAAAAAAACTTTAATATAGTTTGTTGCGGCCAACATAAAGGTCATTTATTTTTGTTTTATTTTAGGTCAATTTTATTTTGTTTATATAACATAGATTATTTATTTTATATAGGTTTTTGTTTTCATATAATTTTATGGTAAATCTGTTTATTTGTTTATAATTATACATAATTAAATATGTGTTAAGGTCCACTTCCTGGACTAAGTCCCCCCCCCCAGTACCAGTACCACCAGTTCATGGGTTATAGTTGTACAGATTTATAATTATGAAAATGTGTGATTTCCATCCAGTGCACTGTAATTATTGGCAAGTTAAATATTCTGCCAAACTAAACCTGCTGTATTTTAACCATAATAGCTCTAAGAGAAATTATATTTTTATTTGATTTCATTTATCATCAAAATATATTTGGTACTATGAATTAATTTTATTTATCAATCAAGCATATGATAATCCATAGGCCAGACCTCTTTTTAACAATTTATTAATATCTGTCTTAAACTTCGTGAATGACTTCATATTATCGTAGCCTACAACTTTTTTATTTACGAAAATTCTCAAAAATTGGGCATTTTGAATTTAGAGATCGGTAAACTTTGTCTATTTAATAAAGTACAAAAAACGCAAGAACATCCATTTGCTTTCATTTGGCGTGATCTACACTCCCAATATCTTTATATACTATATTTTTCTCGATTTTGTTATCAAATTATCTAACTACTCTAGTGGAAAACAAATAGGTATTCATGAGTATTTAATACCTCACCAAATTAATTAATTTAATGAGATAACACACCATTTCTGAGAATTTTCTTCTCCGAGTGACGATGAATCCGCTATGCAGATTCTGTCAGGAGGAGAATGAAACAGCCTTTCACATCGTCTGTTGATGTGATAGATTTACAAGGCTTAGACTGGAGCTATTTTGGTAAAAACGGATGGATCGTCCCAGTAGCTATGAGACGGTCGATCCAACAAGCCTATTAAGATACACGGAAGCGACAAAGTAACGTTTTAAGAATAAAACGAACAGCATAAAGTTGGCGCTCAATAGATCCTTCATTGTGAGTCGCGGTGCTTTAAGCCAACTATTAAAAAAAAAAATATTAATACTAAAAGCTGTTCTTCATTCCTCTTCTGTACACAATTCAGAACTTACCATGAGAAAAGATATTTCTAGAACTAACATTCATAATGTTGTAGTAGACATCCCCCTGTATTTACTCCTTTAGATGACATTGTGTGAGGGAATGAGAAGGAATATATAATATATAGGAATGTGAGGTTGCACTGTGAATTGTACTCAATTAAGCAGTGGACAAATTATTCATGGAAAGGTCTCATATCGATAAACAATTGATGAGGAGGGACGCTGGAAAAAGGTCAGAGCAGGTAGCTGGGAACAAATGCCGAAGAGGGCGCCAGTCACTTTAGGCCTGGACAGGAACACGAGAAGACGTCATCTGGGAAGAGAGGCTACATTGAAGACCAAGAATATCAAGCCGACCGTTCACTTATATATATTCATTTATTATCAGTTGTTAAAATAAATTTGTTTTGTTAGACAGGAGTGCATAGTCATTTTATTTAGTTGTCCTATATGCCTCACAATTGAAGAATAAATCAGGTGAGTCAATTCATTCAAAGTGTTTACTAAGTCCAACATTTCATATATGTATTCTTATTGTTTCTTCTCACTCGATGTTACAAAAGATATTAGATTCCCGGATTCCCAACGACAGTTAAACACCCTCAAAAAGTCGATATCCAGTGCCGGGGTTTTGTTTTAATAATTCACGAGTGAAATAACCTAAATCCCCGATATAAAAGCGGAAGGCTATTCGCCTATTCCCGCCAAAACTAATTATTTAACATTTAACTTTCAGTAGGTTATTTACAATGTGCTTGATTTTCATATATTGATACTTGGATAACTTTCTTACAGTCATATCCTTGATTTATAATCTATCTTCACCATTTTATACATAATATATATTATTTTATTGCTTAAACATTAATGGAAATTTTTAATCTATTTCAGTTTGCAATAGTCGAAGTGGTCGTAACCTCGATCCAGGATGGCTTTCCTAATTGGATTAAAAAGAAAGTGCTCTGTCACGAGTTGTTAGTGTTTGCGGTCTGTTGCGTGTCTTTTATCCTTGGATTCCCTTTAGTGACTCAGGTATTTATTGTTTTAAGTTTTGTTTTTTTTCTAAGTAATAAAACCTTAAATTAAAAATTGGCAGAAATTTTTCAGAAAAAAATATTTAACAATCCATACAATATCAGTCAGATACCAGCTAACTATTAATACTATATATGTATTGTGTAGCAATCATATAATCATAATACTTGGTAAGAGATAATACATGCATTTTCTACTATCGACGTAGGAATTTCAATACATACATTTTTTTTTTATTCAATTATAATTAACTGTTTATTTTTATATATATATATTCAAGTAAAGTTTTTTTTATGAAATGAACTTATTCTATCTCTTTTTCGTTCTTCATTTCTCAAAGTGTATGTTTATGTTATTCAACCTTTTTATATAGTTTTGTTTATAATTCAAGTGATTCGTTCATAGTTGTAATTGTTTTGTTCATAGTTTCAAAAGCTCTGTGCATAGTTTTATCTGTATTTTATATAGCTTGTGCACCTAAGGTTTTCTTTACTTTTTATTTTATTTTATCTATTTTATTTATTGTTTCAAACTTTTAGGCCAGTAATATTCTGTTCTTTTGTACAATATTGTTATTCTAAAGGGACTTAGTCCCAGGATAAAGTTTTTTTTCTATCTATCTTCTATCTATTTACAAAGAAAATTTTTTTAACTCATTTAATTTATTATTTGGTCTAACAATTTATCTTGCTTATATCACTGCTGTATCCATTTTCTAACATATGAGCAGTGTTGTAAGAAAAGCCCACAATATTCGTTATGACGTTTTTATCCGAATTTTGGAGATAAACCAATTTTCCTATTTTACAATCTAAGTATTTGAGATAACTAAAAAAGATATCTATAATTCAAAATACCATCATATAACAGTCAAATTTGTGATGGTTAAAAATGAATGGATACATGTCATATCAAAACATGAAGAACTTCGCATCCTCACCTTGGGAACAGTAACATTCGTTACGATTTTTTACATTTACATTGAGATATTTCTTCTTGATTTATTTTAATGTCGCCATTCCATTCTTTAGAAACAATACAAAAAATTAATACCATTACTTTTTTTTTTCAATCTGAAAAGACATGTGAAAAACGAATGTAAAGCCCAGAGACATCAAATGGTCAAATAATATTAGAATAACCCAGACACTGTTATAGAATACACTTTACATTATACGTTAAATATCTTAAATATTAAGATGAAATGATCTTTTAAAATGTTTATTTTAAAAAATTTAAACGATTATTATTTTCTAGGGAGGGATATTCTTCTTCCAGCTGATTGACCATTACGCAGTCTGCAACTCAATTGTTTACATCGCTTTCTTTGAAGTAATTGCAGTTTCCTGGTTCTATGGAGCTGGCAGGCTAGCTACAAATATTGAAAGGATGTCAGGTGAAAAGACGAACTTCTATTTCAAATTCTGTTGGGTTTTCGGAGCACCTACACTCATATTTGTAAGACATTTTTATCATTACTTAAAAGCCAGATATTATTTAATTTATGGTGAATAAATGAAACCGGATTTTTGATGAAATAAAATATATAATTATATTTCTTATTGAAGTGAAAACTTCTTTAGGCGCGTTTTACACTTTTTTTTTTAGGAGAGTAAATTAGATTGAGCCGTCAAATCTCCAATGTGTAACGCTTAGGTATAGTTGGCTGGAATCAAATAATCAAATTATTTTTGCATATATAAATTAAAATATTTCAGATACTAAAAATCGGACCTGCATACTGTAAGTGAAGGAATTGTTCAGAATTTTATCCTATTATTCAAAATTGTACCTTAACGCAGCGCTGTGTAAGAGAGGCGAAAAGGAAAAAATAGTGTCAAAAATGTTAACGTGTTCAATGAAAAATATGGATTAAAATATCTCAGAAACTAAAAATCGAACCTACATACTGTAAGCGAGGGAAATGTTCACCATTTCATACTGTTTATAATGAGCTATCATTTATAATTTATATTTATTCATATTATTAATCTCGCCTTGTTGATGTTTTCACTTTTATCATGTGGTCAAAAGCACACCTTAGTTGTTTTTTTACATTTTGTTTAACATTTCCGGGAATGTTCTTCGCATCATCAGAAACATATCAGTCCTGCGATACAGGCCCCATTTTATCATAACCTACAACTTCTTATCTATCAAAATTTTCGGAAATGGGCGTATACCGATTAAATTCATTAATTTGGTAAGGTGCTATAAACTCATGAATACCCATTTGCTTTCGACTTTAACCATTAGACATAATTTGATCACAAAATCAAGAATGAAATTTAAGCACATATGTATGATTGATTTTTAAAAATTGAAAAATCGTTGGGGGTTTTGGTTCATTCAGCAATATATTTTTTAAAATTTTATCTTTATTTTTATTTAAAATATATAATATTATAAATTATTTAAAATTTTATGATAACATATGGAATTTGTTTACTCTATAATATGGTTGTATAAATTCTTTTTCTACGTAAATAAATAATTTCTACATGGTTACATTTTTTTTTTTTTTTTTTTTTTATAACAATTTCAATATATAACATAGCATAGCATAATAATATAATAACATATTACATAATAATAGTCTAATATAGTATATATTAAATATTAAACGACAATATATGAGATCTATAAGATTATATAATATAAAAGATAAATTATAATCTATATATAAATTAAAATTATACATATATTTGAATATATATCTGTAATAATTTATAATATAATAAATAAAGTGATTATAAATATGAATAGAAGCATATGAATAATAGCGTGACTAGAAGGAATAGAAAAAATTATTAATATAGAAGAGACAAAACTAAAATACTAAAACTAGATATGATCTAACAGTAAACTAATTCTAAAATTCATTTATAAAATGGTGATCCTGTACCAGATATGGGCAAATGCTTCTCTGAGTACTGAGTACAAAGTATTTTACACAAATACTGATCTATTTCGAGTACCAAAGAATTTAATTACTACTTTAGTTGATATCAAATAATTAACTGAAGTAGTGATTGAATTTCCTATAGTGACTCAATTTGCCTAAAATACTAGATACTTGAAACTCAGTACCACTTACCGATCTCTGTTCTTTACAAAGAAAAATAAATAATATAATAAGGTAAGGAAAAAGAAAAATCATAGTATTTGATCCATAGGATTAGAGGTAACTGAAACTTAATAATTAGAAAGTATCCAATTAAAGATTTCTTTCTTAGTTCCCTAACTGTTAGGTCCGTTTAACAGATCTCCTGGTATTCGTTTGTACAGATTAGGAACCGTATAGCTCAATGTCCGTTTCTCTATTCTATTATTAAATTTTGGTTCAAAGTACTTAGTTTTGTTTTTGACGTTTTATTAAATCCACAACATTATTAGAAAGATTTCCAAATTCCCTACACAGCAAAAAAAAAAATCAAAATTGAAACATTTTCTATAAAGATACAGCCAATTTTTATTTGTACACATATTTTAGTCTATTGTGTTGAATGAAAATTAATTCCCACCTTTTATAATAGATTAATTTTACTTATTTTCCTATTAGATTGCTATTTGCTCGTTGATCAATATACTATGCAAATTATTCACTTTGGCCAACAAGTATTATTTTATATTTTTACAGTTTGTCTGGCTCTTTGGCATTCTTGACTATACCGGTCTGTCGTTGGACAATGGTTACCACTTCCCGACGTGGGCTAATGTTGCCGGATGGTGCATCACCGCTGCCTGCCTCCTCTGCATCCCAATAATTTTGGTTTATGTTACCATGTTAGCTGAGGGAAAGAATTTCTTTAAGGTAAAATAGATTGTTTATCATCTATTTCATTTGGTTGACCGTGATATAATATGAGAAGGAGCTAATGGGGGGGTTACGGTCAAATAAATACTATTTCTATAACTTAGTATTTATTTGACCGCACCTCCTGACCTGATTAACTCCTCATATTTCATTTTATATTTTGACGAAATAAAGAAAATCAATAAGTTAAAAATTATTTCCTTTTATTACTTGAGATGTGATGATATTATTTATAATTATGAAGAAATAAGTCCCCATTGCGAGACGAGTTGAACAAAATTTTATTCCCCAGTTAACAGGTTAAATGTTTTCTATAATAAATAAACCAAAGAGTAAATTTAACATAATTAGATGTTTTAAAACATATTGATTATTTATTAAAGTGACACCCATTGCTTGAATTTTTGATAATGTTGCTTGTTCCATGTCACTATATTTTCATCAATTATGACCATTATATAAAGTCGGAACGTATAATATTCCTGGCGTCAGTTGTTTGATATTGATCTTCATTTTCTATATTCAGGTTAATTGAGACATTTTTGATTAACAACAAAAAAACATCAAAAATTTATAACCCCATCAAAATGTGGTCCCCTCAAAATTTTTTATGGCACAACTTGTACCGTGAAACCCCCTTCTGGGCACCTCTGTTCGGGTGTGAGTATCAAAGAGATTTATTCCCAACTTTCTTTCAAAGATTGATTCTAATATCATGCCCAATTGACTAAATTATTAATTTTTTTTTTCTTTTTCTTATTTGTTTTCTTCTTGTTATTTGTTTTCTTATTTTTTAGAAATTGTGTAATGCAATGAAGCCCAGGATTGAAGACATACCTCCTCCGATAAAAGAGACTGAGATAAAAGAGATGAAGACACTTATGAAGCCCATAATAAGGGTCAAATCTAACAGCCTCGACCACATAGTGATAAAATGATCAACTTACGATGACCAAAGATCAAATCGAACTTAATATTTCCTACCAGATCGAGGAAGCCAAAAAAAACACATACCAGAAGCTCATGCAATTGTTTGTATCTTTCTGGTCTAACATTTATTATGTTAGCCTGGCTCTATCTAGTCGTAAACAAATTTTCACTCAACAAAGTCTAGGTTAATTTTTGTAAGCGAGATCATTAATTTCGGAAGGTATATAAGCCGTTGAAAAGAGTTCTTAGTTAGAATTTGATTAGATATTACTAGAATTCCTACAAAATTTAATTTAGTTAAGAAATTAATGTTATAAATGTAATTTAATTATTTTTATACACCTTTTAAAATATAAATACGAGAAATTATGGTAATTATATTGAAATATTAAATAAAAAATTTCAACTACTGATAACATTTATATTAAATGTTATTTCTCAGTTGTTATTACAATTAATATATTTTATTTCCTGGTTACAACTTTTTTGAGATGAGCCAGGTTTTAATGGAAACTGTATAATCATCACAGTTTTATGTATTATTACTATATTATTATAGTAATAATATTTACTACCATTATTTACAATGACTATATGAGCTTATAAATTTTTCTTTCAAATTTAAAAAAAAATATATATATAAATAAGTGTTTTCATCTCTAGAAAAGTTGATAACTTTTTTTAAAAATCTTGTAATAAAAGAAAAGTTTCTGAATACTAATGGGATGACATTTCAATGTAATGAAATGCCTGGTCTATTGGACTTATGGTGGCGCAGAAAAATTGGAAGGAACTTTTAGGTATCAATTAATATTTTATTCGTCTAAGAGATTGAAAAGAAAAAAAAAAAGAAAGCTTTTAAACTTTATGTTTCTCAAATGTATATGTAGACATTATTTTGTTAACGAACTAAGGGAATGAAAATATTTAGGAAAAGTTGAAGTTTCTAAAACTCTTAATCCAAGTTGCTAACCTATTTATTTATTTATTATGCACAATTTAGGTAGTTAAATCTATTGTTCTATAAAAATCTGCTTTTTAATGAAATTATATTTTTTAAAAATTTTAATAATCATCAATTGATGATACATAACAATTCCTTAGTGTTGTAAATAAAATAAATGTGATTTTTATACTAGAATAGTTGTGAACTGTTTGTAGCCAAATCAAACTGAAACCACTAGATCAGCCAATCGCTTATATTAGAAAGTTGGCAATGGTTCCAGTATAGGTTGAAATAGTTCTTAATAATTTAATAAATTCAAAGATATTTAAGTGTTTTTTTTTATAAACTGTGTTATTAGAATAAAGTTTTATAAATATCAGTTTTATTAGCTTTAGAAAATTGCTCATACTTTTGATGTTACAATCTATAATATAATATTTGCATTCCTTAATTCTATATCAAGTTGTTGTTTGTTATGTTGTTTTTTTAGGATGAATTAAATACCATCTTCTTTGTAAACATTTTAAAAGTGCTTTGAAAATCTAGAACAATTTAGGGCTTTTCAAACTTTAATAACCAGTATGCAATAATTCCCCAACGGCCTAATTTAGTATTGGTGTTAGACAATTTTGTAAAAAATAGATTTACTTATAAATTTAATAAATTAGAGAAAACTGGTGCTATAGAATTAAATACTGAATATTAGATTTCCTTTTATGTTTGTTATAACCAAAATTTGTATATTTGATGATAAGATGGGTTATATGTGTTTTGATAATATAGTTAACCACCCATAACCAGATTCTTTATGACTCCGATTAGTTAATATTACTTTTTTCCTTACAAAAATGCATTTTTTTAAAAAAACAAATAAATGAATCCTTCCTTTTCACGTTGTACATTTCATATAATTTTATAATTGAAACCAATTATTCAAGCATTTTTTTGGTAAAATATCCTTTTTACAACTACAATCTCAATTAATAAATATTAAATTATCCACAAATTTCTTATTGAGATAAAAATGTAAATACGTTTTAGTTAAATAATATTTGGCCAATTTCCCTTCTTTTTTTTTTAAAGTCTACTATAAAATTAAATACTTATCTCCAAGGATGTATAATATAAATATGTAATTATTTAATTTAAACGAATGTATATCACTTCATTATTATTTAATTTTAAATTAATATAAGAATGTATATTTCCTGTAAGTATAAATTTGTAGCTATTTAATTTTTAAAAAATATTGCTACTGTTGGTGCAAAATATCGTAAATAAAAACTGAGTTTATTTTACATAAAAACTGATTAATGCTTTATGGTTATATTATTATTGGTATTATTTCATATTTTATTTCCCTCTGCTATTTTCCTATTTAGCAGACTACTTATAACCATTGTTAACTACAAAATGTCACCTTTAGCACCAAGTGAATAAAGATATAAAATTGTCACATACGACCTTTTGTAATAACAGTAGCGAGATATGAATTGTTCAGTTGACACTTCAAAGTTTTTGATATACAAAATTGTTTCTTTCTTATGAGATGTAAATACTTGAAACATAGTGAGATTTTTATTTGTTGTAATTAAATATATATTTTTTATATTTTGATATTGTTAGTTTATTGCAAAAATTCATTAAGTGCACTTGTTATATAGGTTAATTTTCAAATATATTGTTGTGAATTTCAACGTTAGTTATCATGAATAAAATTCATCAAATTTATTAATTATTTGAGGTCATGAAATGTCACTTAATGACTTTTTACAATAAACCAACGATATGCAAGAAATTGGTACTGTGGTAAGGAATTTTTTATAAGTCAGTTGATAATCCGGTACTTCTTCACTAGCAGGCCGGGACTGAATGCTATCTGCCAATGTTTATAACCTGAACACTGATAATTCCGATAAGGCAGTGATAAGCCTTCTAATAATTCCTATCTTTGTATTATTGTATTATATTCGTATTATTGAAAGTTAAACAGAAACAAAAACAAATTTAATAACAAAAAAAAAACTTTTGTTTTACGACACATGTATTAATGAAATAAGTTATGGGACCACCCATAAATCAATTTTAAAGCCATTAAAAACGAAATCCTCGAGCCCTCCAACCATGTTCCTTTCTTTATTGAAAGTCTTATGTCACAAGTGCAACGATAGCATCTCCGTTTGGTGTTCCTGGTTAACTTCATTTGATGACCTCGTTCACACAATTTCACCTCTGCAAGTATCCTAACGTTTTGAAAATATTCAATAGCCTGTTCTTCTGAAGACGGTAAATCCCAGAATGTAACAAGATTCATAATTTGACAAAAATAAACTAAAAAAAAAAAAATGAAAATATACACAAATGGGCCAAAAATAAAGAATTTAATAACTGAAAGGTTTGGCAGGATAAGAAGAGGGAGGTTATGTGACATGACGTTAGATAACATAGATAAGAAGTGAGGTTTTGACCCGCCCTGCTAGTGAAGTAGTACCGATAATCCAAAGTGACCAAATTAACTTTCAAGAGAAAAATATATTTGTGTGTTGGGCATTGGACTTCCCAAGGTCAGGGTTCCGGGTTTGTGCCTGGCTTATGGCAGATAAATTATTTATTCTGTTATCCATTGGCCAAGGATCCATCCTGGGGTCAGGAAACCCTCCTGGGACTCACCCAGGCTCAATAAAATAGGTACTCTTAATTAATTAAAGGAGAAAACCTGGTGGTTGAACATGATTTTGGTCAAATCACCTCCTTGCATAACCGTTGAACAAGAAACAGTACTTTACAACATAGTACTGAACCCAAGACCCTTCATGGGTTGTAGTGGTGCAGGTTTTTTTTTTTAATGACAGGTTGGACTTTAAATGTAAATAATAAGGTTCTTTGTTGATTTAAAAATTACAGTTTTTTCTAGATTGAAAAAAAATACCCTTTATTGGCAACTGTATTAAGCCTATCGTTGTTTCTATTGTGCTCTTGAGATTAGTGTTTTTCATACGTTCCTACTAACAGTTTTGCTAAGAGTAAGTTGAACCTTCATGTTATCTTATCTTCATGTTTATAGTTAAATAAAGATTTTATAATTTTTGAGGTACGTCCATTACTGGTACCCCTATCCATTACTAGAAGAATTGAATTTTGGTGTGTCCATCACTAGTGCAAAACTGTGTTTTTTTTTTAAAGGAGATTATATCTGCATATCTAAATATTTTTTCAATTTCAAAGTGTCAAATATAAAAAAAAAAAGACTCAAGAGATTCTAAATGTCCAACGTAGAAGTTTATAACTATAATAATTATGGCGACATAAGACAAAAAATTCCTTTGCTATGTCCATCATTGCGCTTACCCTATTAGCTCTAAAGTATAAACTTAGTGTATTTTTTCCTCAAAATATAAATCGGCTATATTGACTACATTTTATTTTAACACAGCATTACAGAAAATGGTAATCTTTTTTTTCTTCTGAGATAATTTCATGAAGTAAATTTTAATCATTCAATTAAAAGTTGGCGTTTGACCCTTGGTTAAATCACTCATCTTTATTAATTAAAAAAATCAAAATCTTATTTTCCCAAAATAATGAACTTGAGCTGTCAACTGAATGGATTGCAATATTACTTTATTATTTACAAATCATAAATTACAATCAGGACCTATGCTTCTTATATGAAGCTTCTCTGTAGACTGATAAACAATAATGGAGTTGAATTTATGTTTCTTCATTGTTTTTATTTGCACATTAATACTGTTATAATTGTTCTTTCTCTATAGATATTTGGCTATAAAAATGGTGTTTCTATCAAATATTTTATATTAAAAATTAAACTTATGATTATTATTTTCATTTTCATTATTATCATTATTGGTAAAAGTTAATCACTAAGCATACATTCTCTTATGAAGTTGAAAGAATTTAAATATTTCTTTGATTCTCTTCATATAGTGGATACAGAAATAGTTCACAATACTGCAATCTGATCACGTAATGCTGTCCCTAATTCCATCTACTGCTATAGTATAGTCAGTGTCATTATATATAATGTGCAATGACAATAACTATAAGCTACCTTGGTTCGACATGGTTTTAATTGACATATTTGGTTAAATTGAGATTATTAGTGCTTATAATTTTATTTTTTGTCTAAGGCACATGAGAAATCAACCATTCAAACTGTTAATGTATCCACATACACTGACGAACATTTGTTTAGTTTTGTTAGTAATCAATGTAACGAAATAAGCTTAAAATCAATTACAAGTCTAATATTAAAATGGTTTAGTTATATAAGAGGCAATGGTTGTGTTTATTGTTTCTAGAGGAAAATCATTCAACTATTCATCAATCTGTTAGAAATTTTGAATGAAGTTAGTATTAAATGTATATTATACTGTTTCTTTCATTTTCTTTTCTTTTTTTTTAATTGTGATTAATAGATTTTGGAATAAGATATACCATGTTTTATATTTTTATAAATTGTGAAAGTTGGTGTTTTACTGATGAAACATTTCAATTGCATAAACATGGTGTTCTAATGCATCTCATTCCTATTGTTAAAATCATTCCATAAAAACTGAAAAATCTGTGACAAATAAATATGATTTTTCAAAAGTTGTATTTCTTATTTTCCTAGGTATCATAATCAAGGCTGACAGTTATGGAATTTCAATTTTAATAATAATAATTTAAAATATTGTTATTATTTCTGTCGCTACTGCTGCCTTCCAAGGAAATAGACCTCCTCTCAAATAGCCTGCCAGACTGGTCTGTTGGTAGTAACAGCTCTCCATTTTCACCTATATCTTCTAAACGATGCATCAACGGGAAAAATGTACGGTTTCATAAATTAAACAATGTTAAATTGTGCGTCAAACGAGTACATAAACTTTGTAATTAGATTGCGTGATAAGGTATAAAACAACGAACTCTGATTTTTACCATATTTCTCAAACACAAAGAGACAAATTACTACAAATAGCCCTGTGACTTGGAAATTAGTTCCTTAAGAGGAAAACCCCATAGAATTAAAACTGTAGAGCATCAAATTGTACTTCCAGTGAGTACCAACTAATTTAATGCAGGTGACTTACTCTGAACAAAATAGGTAATCTCCCGATGGTTAGAAATTTGTTTTGAAGGTAAACGTGATTTTCAGTATTTTAACAATATGGGTGTCTATTCTATTGAGCTATGTTTCTTTAGCATCTGTTATATGCAGTATAAGCCTCTTTTCCACTTGCGAAGAATTTAGTAAGCGATGTGTCGAAAGATACAGAATTTCATAAAGGAATCCCAATTCGAGATACATAATTGGCCTACAAAAAAAAAATGTGAGTACTCAGTGAAGGAAAAATTTGATGCTCTACAACTTTCATTCTATGAATTTTCCCTCTTAGGGAACTCATTTCCAAGTTACAGGGCTATTTGTAGTAATTTGTCTCAGTTTTTGACAAATTTGGTAAAAAATATCAGCGTTCCTTGATGATGGTGGTTTCTACCATACCACTTAACCAAATTATTAAGTTTATGTACTCGTTCGACGCACAATTTAATGTTATTTAATTTCTCAAATAATACACTTTTCGCTTTGATGGATCGTTTAGGAGTTCTAGGTGAAAAAACAACAAATTCTGATTTTATTGGCTGTAAAAAGGTTTCCCTTGGTGGTCTAGCTTAGCAAGTCTATTTTTTACATGTCTAAACCCATATATACAAGTTAAAAAATTTGGATTACTCCTTTCGATCATCAAATTATTGGCCTAATAATCTTTAAATCAGCCGCCATTTTTGAAAGCAGGGGCTCTGTAAGGCAGACAAGGTTCTTTTTACTCAGAATAACATACAAACTGAGCGCCTGCGATCAGATCTATTTTTGGGCCCTGGCTCCAGGCTATGAGCTCCTAATAATATAAATATAATTGATTAGCCGATTTTTAAAATTTTTTTTTTAGACTTATTCAAGATCATAAATAGATGGAGTTTCGTCCCGGAAAATCGCACTTGGGAACTCATTGCTATCTACTGATTGTTCATTGCGCAGCGGAAAACTATCCCGTCAAAGTTTCAATTCAGATATCATTAGAACTGATGAGGAAAAACAACCGAATATCACATATACGCAGAAAAAATCCAACTCATCTCTCATCAAGATTGCATAAAATACACATTAACTAGAGACGAAATATCACTCCATGACACGCTAAAAGACCCGTTATATTATTGAGTCAATAACTAAGTTTGTCAATATATTTAACATGAAAGGGCTACATTGATATCAATTAAATTGGCATCAAGCAAACTGATTAATATCATTTTTTTTATTTTGGTTTATTATTTTCAATAATGAAACATTTCAATCGAAAATTTTTCAAAAATTCAAAAACAACCTTAAAAATTTGACGTTTTACGTTTCAGGATACGTAGAATTCGGAAATCGAATACAATTTTTTTTTATCCGTCCACCGTCCACGCATTTTCTCCGAAACTACTGGACCGATTTTTTGCAAATTTTGATATAAAATGAGAGGTCACCCGAGGATGATCCTCCTTCATCGACATTACTCTCCGCCTTTAACTTTCAAAATGGCGGCCGAAAAACTTGCGTTGCTATAGACTGTAGCTCCTAAACGAATGTACAGATTTCAATGAAACTTTGCTAAAGTCATTTTCTCGACGCCCTTTAAATTTATCTTCGAAAAGAAGCTGGAAAAAAAGTTACGAGGGATGGTGAAATTAAATTCCGAATAACTCGAAAAGTTTTTACTTTTTTGTTGATATTGTATATGGTTATTTAAAAGTTACAAAATTTCATATAAAAAAAAAAAATCGTTAAAACCTGACAATTAGGAGTAAAGACATGGTCTCTAGATATTTTTTGTATGTTCTACTGCAAATATCATATCCTTTGTTTTGGTTTTTGATTTTTTGAAAGTGTTACTGAAGTAGTGCTTTGTTATCTTCCTTTTTATTTTTTTTTAGGTATAAACTTTTATTATAAGGAAGGTAATGTTACTTCAGATGTATAATTGTTTGAAAATAATAAACCATTGTGAAATAATTTGCAGCGTTTATTGCAATACTGTTCCTTATTATATATTTCATTGACAGGTAAGTTAAAATGAAAGTGGCCTGCAAAAATATTGGGCCGTTAGGCCTCCTTATTTTATTTTGATAGGTTGTGTGAGGTCACGCACAGCCGGATCTACCGGGGAGGGGAGAGGCTTTCGGGCTGAAGTCACCCCCAAAATGGTAAAATATAACTACATTTTACTGGAAAAAATATTAAAAACTATCTCTTAAAGTCCCAAATGCGAGAACGATACGAGTCTTGGTCTTGCAAACTCAGTCTTGGTCTTGCGCAAGAGTCTCGCAACAGCCTTATAGATACATTGCCAACAACTATAGAGATATTGCTATAATTTTTTAGATAGGAAAAACCTAACTAAGTCTGAATGAAAAATTAGAGGAGTTAAATGCAAAAGTATATTGGTTAAACCAATTATTAACATACAGTAACTAAGATTGTCGATTATAACTAACTATTTTGCATTAATTTTTAATTTAAGACGTGGATTTTTTTTATCAGTCGTGGTCTTGGTCTTGCAACAGTTAGGCAGCCTTGGTCTTGGTCTTGCAAAGAACCACTTAAACACCGTTTCATATAGGTAGTTCATTTCTTTCTTTTTTTTTTTTAAATTAATTATCGTTCAATATATATGAAAAAAAAGTTTTCGTGCTGAAGTCCCCCCCCCCCTTCTCTAACCAAAATAAATCCTAGATCCGCTAGAGAGGTCACGTAAAACGGCCCAATATTTTTGCAGGCCATCTTTTTCTAGATTTTTTATCAAATTATCTTACGATTCATGTGGAAAGCAAATGGGCGTTCATGAGGTTTTGGTTCCAAAATAAGTTGACAAAGTTTAACGATCTATAGATCGAAAACGCATCATTATTGTAAATTTTCGTAAATAAAAAAGTTGTAGGAAACAAGAAAATGAAGCTATTCACGATGTTAATAATTTGATAAAAAAAAAAAAGGAAAGGAAAGGTTCCGCGGACTTCTAAAGTTAATTTATTTTTTTTTAATTTTAATTATACAGCTTAAGATTTGGTAAGATTATGTCCTTTTCCATGAAATTAACAACCAAAAACGAGGAAAAAATAACCGCAACAGCTGTTATCAACTATACACATCATGGACAAGGAGAGATAGGCTGGTACAGGAAACCGATAGTGGCAGTTGTAGTACTACAGTCTCTGAATCATTACCGTAAGTACCAAGCTCTTCAAAACATCAGTATTTTGCCAATTTTATCTGTGGTTTTACTAATTTATAATTTAAATAACATTACAACAAATTTAAATAACAATAATATTAAATATTCTAATCGATTTTTCCCGGAAATAATTAACTATTGCAAAGGCATAGACTTTACATTCTGATTGGAGAGCGATGAATCTCTCCCAAAAAATCGGTATTTTATATTTAAAATTATGAGTGATATTTTTTCTCTGTTGGCATTACAGACCATGTAAATCTTTTGCCGCATTAACAAGCCTGCTCCATCTCTGCCTGTCTTGGGATATTTTTTTCTATTTATCTACACGCAGCTCTATTGCATCTTTGTTGATTCTATCTATCCATCTGGTTTTTGACCTTCCACTTGGTCTTTTGACTTCTATTGAGGTATTCATTGTTACTTAGAAGCTTCCTGATGGATTGCTACGAGCTATATGCCCCGCCTATCTTAATCTCCGTTCCTTCATATCATTGACTGACTAGTTTCTGCAAGAAGTTCTTGATTAGTCTTTCTTCTCCATGCACATGCGGATCTACGGGGAGGGGCTTTCGGGCTGAAGTCCCCCTTCCCCAAAATAGTAAAATATAACCATGTTTTACAGAAAAAAATATTAAAAACTATCTCTTAAAGTATTCTTGTTAGTGTAATTACATTTAATACACTAGCGGATCCAGGATTTAATTTTTGGAGGGGGCTTCAGTCCGAAAGCTTTTTTTTTCATAAAAATAACGATAATTACTCTGGGAAAAAAGAGAGAAACTAATTACCTATATGAAGTGGTGTTTAAGTGATTCCTAAGGCCCTTTTAAATGTAATTACACGAACAATAATACTTCGAGAGATAATTTTTTTATATTTTTTTTTCGATTAAACATGGTTTTATTTTCACATTTGGGGGGGGGGGGGCTTTAGCCCGAAAGCCCCCCCCCCCCCCGTAGATCCGCCCGTGATTTAATATGATTTCAAGAACCACTTAAACACCATTTATATTTAGTTAGTTTCTTTATTTTTTTTTTTCATTTAATTATTGTTATACGTATAAGAAAAAAAATCTCTCGGGCTGAAGCCCCCCTCAAAATTAAATCCTGGATCCACTAGTGTCCCCATGTGTTAGAACTCTGATCCCAGCTTCGGTTATCGTGCGAAGGATTTTTCTTTTAAATCTTTCAATACTTTTTCCTAAGGTGCTGGTTATTGTCCAGGTCTCACAGCCATATATTAGAACTGGCTTTATCATAGCATTGTACACCCTTAATTTGAGATTTTTCGGGATTTCAATACCTTTGAAATAGAAAAGAAAGCTTTGTTTGTGCT